ATATATATATATATGATACATTGAGATCATGATGTTAAATTAGTGAAATGACACCTTTAATATATTTTTTTATAAAATATGAATTTAATTTATTCAACTGTTATATTTAGTGATTATAGTAATTTGATCAAATATATAAAATTACAATAAAAAAAAGTGACATGATTAGATATATGCACGTAATTAATAAATGATAAAGATTTTCTAAAAGATTATAAAACTAATAAAAAAATGTTGAAACTAAAATCATATTATGACATGAACTAAAAATATATTGTCATAAAATAAAAATCTAATATGAGTATATAAATTACCTAGTTCTTTTGTTTCACTTTCTCTATTTTTTTTTAATCTAGTTTTGTAATTTTATATTATTACATATTTCTAATGCAATATTTTTAATAGTAGAAATAATTCTTAATTGAGTTAATTCATGCAAAAGAATATTACAATAATTTTGAACTATTCTTTCTCTTACCTTATTAGTAAAAAAGGAGGTAGTCTACAATAAACCTTTCTTTTCAAAAGTTTTCTTTACAATATGCTTTTGTTAGAGTCATCATCATAAAACTATTTCTATACTTCCTAAAATCTCCTAATTTTTGAGCAAGAAGAAGAAGTTAATTCCAATATAATTTAACATAAATTAATAATTTCACAAATAGAACATCAAATTTCTAAATGAACCATTCCTAATTTAGAGATATCCTCCATGTACAAAACTTCATGGAATGATATTTTTTAAATTGAATATGTAATTCAAACAATAAAAAAGAAAGATGAATTAAAATTAAGTCATGAATCGATCCATACCATTTGTGTTCCTTAATTAAGTCAAGTAACCATAAAATCTTTGTTTAGTTTAGGAATGTACACCCCTATGTTTGTAACTTTAAGAGATAGTAGGCCAATAAAACTTAAAAATCAAATTCTAGCTATGTTTGAAATAAATTTACATTAAGGTCTTGTCTATATAAATAATTATCCAAATTATTCAATATCTATTAAAAGCTTCCATAATACTACTAATAATATTATGTTAGATATAAAAATGCTAGAAGATGAATGAAATCAAATTTTTTCCCTAATTACTACAATATATAAAATATACTAAAAAGTAATGAAAACTCAATTAGCCTCTAGAATATTATTAATGTTTCCAAAAGATAAAACTACTATACTCTTCGTAAATGCATAAAAGGTAAATATAGTGGTTCCAAAAATTTTAAAACATAATGTAATAACCAATAGTTTAAAATGGAGACTTGAAGATCTTTTAATTCCTGAACCACCCAAACCTATAATATTAAAATATATGATTAAATATAAATTAGGAACAAGAGAAGTACTATTTACTTATTAAGAAGATTTAGGTCTTTTAATTTTGCGTCATCCTCATCCATTTTTAATATGACTAAAAAATCTTTAAATCGATGTAGTTCTACAATACTAAAAGTATTCATTTAAAGGACATTAAATAATATTCAATTATTCTAATATCCGAATATGAATATAAATATGTTAATATATATAATTCACTTACTCAATCTGATATATACCAAGATGAAACTATAATAAAATGTTATTAAAAAATTTAAAATATATCAAGATTTTTTAAGACAATCATTTTTAGATAGTAAAATTAAAAAAAAAAAAAGATTAATTTTTTAAAACCTTTCCTTTAATAAAATTATTATCATTTTTCATTTGTTTTGCCCTTATTTATGATTACACTTGGCCTGTATACACAGCACTAGTACATTAAAATATAAATTCAAAATAATTTAATCATTTCGACCTTACACTTGCGTCGATGTTTTGTTTTAGACTTTAGTTGTATATCTTAAAAATATTTAATTGTGTTTTTAGTCCTCTAAATTAAGATAATTATTTTATTTTATAAATTTAAAATTTATATTTTAAATTTTTATAATTATAATTATGCATATTTATATATATATATATATATATATT